CCCAAGGCGGCGTCAGGGCGGCTGCGCCCCGGGCTCGGCGCACGCTGCGCCCGCGCTGCCCCGCTGGSCCTGCAGGGCCTCCCCGGGCTCCTTTGTTCAGCTCCAGCCGTGCGGAGCCGCTGCCTTCGGGCCCCATGTTTGGGCCCGGCGCTGCTGCACGCACCCCGGCAGCAGTGAAGACAGGGAAACCCAGCCAGGAGTCCGCAGTCCTTGGGATGTGCAGGACTCAGGCCCCATTAGCTGATACGAGGCTGCTAAAATGTGTGGAGGGGGAATTTCTGGTGGCTCGTCCATCCACCATGCGCTGCCTGGCATGGGAGATGATTCCCGGCTCTCCCAGAGCCATTCTTTCCACACATCAATGACTCCAATTGACTTTAATGGGTGTTGGACTGCGTCCCAGCTAAGAAACAAGCTCTCGAAGCAAGCAAGGTCTCCTGGTACACTGTGCTTGGAGGGAACATGCCCTTAGTTCCTCATTCCTGCAGCTAACCAGGCCGTCCCAGGGAGAGGTCTCCTTGCAGGGAGGCGGGAAGCATCAGGGTCTGCAGTCCAGCGCTGGCCTGCGGCTCGTGGCTACGCGGAGCTCACCAGAGACAGCGCCCGCTCCCGAGCGCTGCAAGACAAGCAGCAGGGTTGTCAAGAGGGGAGCATGAGCCCTGGGCAGATCTGGCATCAGAAGAGAGCTCCGTGTTCCGCAGCTGAAGCTTGGAGTGTCCACCCGGGCAGGGCACCACCCTGCTCTGGAGCAGGRTCCACAGGGCCCCCCTGGTCCCCAGGGCCACAGGCACCTGGGCCGGCGGGGAGAATGGGCTCCTCGGGGCGCCCTGCAGACCCACACCTAGCCCTGACACAACGTGGTTTTCCTTCCAGACTTGGGGGTTTGGTCATCTGGGAGGAACCAGGGAAAGGCATTATTTAAATAGTTATAGCTGCAGGGGATTATTTTCTAAATTAACAATAGTAATTGCTCCTGCCAAATCCAAACTTTAAGGGATTCATTTATTTCGACTCTGGAGACAATAGCACAATTTTGGGTTTCATATTGCAAGCTCTGAAAACCAAATGGTGGGGTTGATTAAAAAAATAATAATTCAAACAACATCAATTCATCAGACTTGAATTCAGCCCTTTCCATGGTGCCAGTTTAACTTGCACTGAGAAAAGTTGCTGCTCAGCAAAAAAAAAAAAAAAAAGAAAGAAAAAAAATCCTTTTCTAACGAAATGAATCGAAATGAATGCATCATACATAAAACATCACGAACCATACAATTAGTAAGCAAATGTAAGAGTTCAGCTCAGTTCATAATTATTCAGCAAACCTATTCAGAATTATTTTTTTCTCCCTGCAGCAATCAACTGTGTGGGCTCATTACCACCGAGAATCTAACGAAGAAACCACCACATAAACTGCACAAAACCAGCCCATATGCTACAAAAACTTCAGCCTGGCTGGCCATTAGCGAGAAACCTTTTAAACTGTTCCATCAAGCAAAACCACATCTTACTTCTCCGCAGTGTTTATACCCCGTCTCTATAAAGATGATGTTTCATTAATACGTCAGGCCTCAGATATATAAATTTTAGCTACTGAATAACCTGCACGGTGTTGGGCAGAGCAGCCGCCTGGAACGACGCAGGGAGGCCCCTGGTTGCGGCCACACGTGGCACGGCGGCCGCGGCCACGAGCCCCGGCTGAGCGCAGCGCTGGGCACAGAACCCGGTGCCTTCCCTTGTGGGCGCCCTCCGCCCCGCGGGCTCCTCTCCCAGGGGACTGGCTTCTAAGCCTGGTGACCAACGTTATCCCGGAGCATTGCCGCGGTTCTGCCCGGAGCACTGGGGGAAAGTGCTACATCTCCTACGGCCCAAGAGGAGTGAGGAGCTGGTGACTGGCTATTGCATAAATACTTAAATACATAAATATATATATATATGAGATTTAAGAATTGGCTAAAAGAGTTCCAATCATTTTCAGCAAAGATCCACAAAGGTTTCAGTACTCATCCCTTAGCAAGGCTTTTCTTGTTTGTCTCTCCTGCAAAACAGGTTGGCTGCTTTATCTTTTTACATCTCTGTAGCCTTTAGTTGTGCATTTTTCCTCTTTTTTTCTCTCAGATAGCTCTGTGTGGATTGTTGTATTTTCACAATATTGGTGTATTTTTCTATGGAAGTAAACTTTAAATTTGCAAACAGCTTTTTTGCTTTTTTTTTCAATTAAGAATGAACTGGGCCCCATTTCTGTCACCTGGGTGTAAGGGTATAAATATATCAGTTAGGTGTAAATGTGTAAACTTTAAGCCATATGGGACACTGTAGCTACTGAACACATTTCATTTTTCCCAATTTAGAACACTGAAAATAGGAAATTAATATGACTAAATTAATTCAACATTGAGATTGTACAGGTTAGTCTTAAAAATGTAAAGAAACACTAAAGCAACATTAAACTATCCCATCAAAATAACTGGACCATAATATCCTCCTGGGTGTTTTTATTTACTTCCTATCGCCTAAATACACACCATGAAGTTACACATTTGATTGTGGTGGGAGAGAAAAGAGAAAACAGATCATACATACAACACAGAAAGTTAGTTTGGCTGCGGGAGCTGAACAAGTTTTATATTCCCTCCCAAAAAATCAGAAAAATATAATGAAAACAGTGCCTTTCTGTACAACTAATCAGTATTTAACCCTCCTCAGTATTTTATGACAAAGTTTGCATGACTGATTTTGTCCTGTTTTGTTCTTAGACTTGAGCCAGGTGAGGATTTCTGTCAGTTTGAGGGGCAGGCACAATCTCGGGGCACGTGGGGAGCGGAGCTGGCGGGGGGCAACATCAGGAAGGGGCGAGTTAAGTCATTCTGGGCGCCCTTGGGAGGGCGGGCAGCTGCTCCGGGGTGCGCGCGGCCCCGCGCCGCTCTGCGGCCCCCATCCTGCTCCTTGCACGGAGTCTCCCCCGCAGCAGCGCCCCGCGCGGCGGGCACAGCCTCCCCGCGAGCACCCGCTGCGCTGCGCTGCGCACACCGGGGCGCCTGGCCCYTGCCACGGCGCCAAGGGTTAAAATCCTCCTGCCACCCGCAGCCCTTGCTTTCCCAAAGGCACATGGCCCCTCAGCATGGTGGTACAAAGGGCCTGATTTAATCCCGATCACAGACGACTCACATTGTGCTCGCAGACTTCTAGCAATGTCAGGCTATCAGGTTTCCAACTCATATCCAAGGCACAGGCCAAGCAGCGACCGGGAACAAAGACTTCTTTGTTACG